AATAACAGCCAGCAGAAATCAGACAGAGGGATGAAAATCAGCACTTTCCCCGCAGTGAAGCCATTCATCAAGCTAACGAGGGGGAGAATAGGAGTGGAGGAGGCGCGGTGGGGGAAAAGTGACGTTTGGAGAGGGAGCAGGGAGAGCAGGAGGGAAGCAGGTGCAGTGTGAGGCAGAGGGAGGGAGGGGAGAGGAGGGGAGGGAAGAGAGCCAAGGAGGGGAAAGTGACGTTAGGAACAGAGGTGAGGGAAAGGAAGCAAAGTTTGCTCCTGAGGTGGAAGGAGGGGAGTCATTTCTGAGGAGAGCGTGCGGTGGACACAAGGGGAGGAGCGATAAATCAATCTGAAAAGAGGGGAAGAGATCAGAAGAAAGACAACTTTGACATTGAAGTATAAATAGCAGGGGATGAGAGGAACAGGTTCCTCCAGGCTGACTGCAGGGATCGGCACCGAACAAATGATTTTCTTTTTCCCGTTTTTGGGAAATTTCTAATGAACGTTTTCAATGTAGCGCGCAGCGAGGAGCTGCAACAAACTGTGACTGTGGAGTTGTATTTAATCCTCAGTTAAAGTGAATTTATGTAGACATCATGTTGAAGCCAGCGGGTCACAGCGTGGGTGAGAGAAGAATCTGACTGAACTCCTGACCTGACTCTGTTATCGCTATGTTTATGGAGTTTCTTTAAGTAGAGATACCTGAGGTCAACCTGCAAGGCTTCACCTTTTTCACCCTAGAGGATGTTTCCTATAAATGGTGTACGGCAGAATTTTGTTCCGCTGATGCCGCTTCGCCTGGCGCCACTGTTAGGACAAGGAACGCCGGTGTTGTCATAAGTAGGTCTAACACGCTGTCTCATTTTGGTGTGGCCTCTGGCACCAAATTAGGCTTCGCTCCCATATTGGGACAAAGCGAACGTCCCCCGTGGCACCATTTTTTTCAGGCCTTTTTTTTTTTTACAAGTGTCATCCACTCTCCACAATCAGCCGGCAACCAGCTCTAACAGCAGCACTGCTGACGGAGGCAGGTTGAGGACAGACCTCTTTCTCACTGTCACCCACACTAGTGTTTTACTTCCCATTCTCTCACTGATCGGTGATGATGGGCCTGCACCCCCCCCCCCCCCCCTCTCCCCCCCGATCTCTGGAAAGCCTTCACCCTTCCAATGACTTGGTCCAATGCTGCTCCACCTCCCTAACAGTCCACCAGAGACCCAACAGTATCTCACGCCTGGAGCAGGGCTGACTAAGCACTTACTGCCGTGCTTTGCCACTCAGGGAGCTAGAGGAGTGCCACGCTGAGAACTCTGCCACGAGAAAATAATTAGCAAAGTGGAGCTCTACCCAAATACACAGAGCTAAATCCAGAACCACTTCACATACGAACACCGCTATAAATCCCTGCTAGCCTTCTTTCTTTCTTTCTTTCTTTCTTTCTTTCTTTCTTTCTTTTTCTTTCTTTCTGTCTTTCTTTCTCGTGGCTCACAAAGTCTCACGTTGTTTCTCTCGTTGGACAAAAACAGAAAATGTACAATTTTCATGTCCAAATCATCAGACACAGACAGCACATCAAATCTAAAAAGTGCACTAAGATTAAAGCAGTCATTAAACCCACAGGTTATTGAAATATTGCGACAGCCACCCATCAATAAGTCACTCAGTTGTCACTGTCAAAATATCATGTACCATTTATACTACTGATACCACAAGCCACAGGATTGTTTTTCTCAATCCAGACTGAGAGAAACTTCAGCCGTGTCCCTGCAGTGACGTAAATTGTGCCCATCTCGCTGTACATGGATATCTGTAATTTTAAGTTTAAAGTTAGACCACAGTGTCTTTGGTCACCCAGGGTAAATATAGTCCACTCCTCCTCAGTAGTCTCCAGTTTCTCACTCCTTTCCGAGAGGCAGGTGGAACTGGGGGTGATGGGGTGCCTTTGGGGGGGAGGAGCGGGTGAGGGTGGTGGTAAGAAGGAATAAGACCCAGTCTTGAATAAATCATCCCTCGACTTTTGACCCATATGGAGCAGGAGGTTGTTTTTGTACTCTCTCCCTCTCTCTCTCTCTCTCTCTCTCTCTCTCTCTCTCTCTCACTCTTCGTCTCTCTCCTGCCGGCCTCTGTACCCCTCCTCTTTCTCATTCATTTTCTCCTCCACATGACGGGTCAATCTGGATCGATTTCATCTGCCCTCAACGACTCAACATCCTCGCGCCCAGAAATAGAGCTCTCTGTGATAGCGGAGCCTCCACCTGACTCTGACTGTTAGAACGCAGGATCTTCTTTTGGGACATTTTGAAAAAGTCGCCTGAAAGCGGCAGCTCGATCCGTGCAGCGGAGAACACGGCTTCAGCCGAGCCACCCTGCTGTACAGTACAGTACAGTACAGTACAGTACAGTACAGTACAGTACAGTACAGTACAGTACAGTACGGTACAGTACAGTCGTGTGGGCCATGCCCTTGTGTACCCGCTGCTTTAATGTGATCACAAACATATGCAGGCTGCTGAAAGACAAACACACACATATATGCTGCTTTCACAATCTTGCACTTTCTTTTTTTTTTCTCACAGCCTTCCTCATACACTTACTCTGCATATAAACACACCTGCTGTTTTATCTTTGTCAGCGTATTCTGGGTGCCTCAGCTCCCGGCTGGGCTCTGAACTTCAGTGTGTGTGTGTGTGTGTGTTTTCTTGCTTCAGGAGCCTCTTTGTTGTGCCTGCCTTTATAAAACACACCCTGGTCGTTTCATATGATGTTAACCTCACTTAACGGCCTCATGCAAAGGATTTGCAAAAAAAAATAAAAATTTTTTTTTTGTAATGAAAGGGTAGAGACACAAGAGCATGGCGTCCTGGTGCTGTCTCCGCAGTCCAGGCCGAAGTTAGGACACTCTTTTCCCAGGCAAGGACACAGAGACCTGTCT